CGGAGCTCGCCTGCTCACAGCACAGTCCTCGTATCCCGCGGGCCCGGGAGGCAGGAGTGATGTGTGTGAGGCCAGCGGGAGCAGGGCCATGCGTGAGGACCACTTTCAGGAAGAGAGGCCCTCGCCTTTCCTCTGGCATGGTTCTCTTTGCCCCTACTTGAGCCTCGAGGTTGGATGAGACAGAACAAAGTCCATCTGGGCACTGGGCTTGGGCCACAGTGACAAGAGCTGTCTGTGAGCTGAGCCCAGCCGGCAGCCTTTGTGGACGGGGCCTGGTGGGCCTCCCAGGTGGCTCGCAGGACACCTCCTGGCGCACCTGCGGAAGGAGAGTCTGTTCCCATAGCAACGACTGAGCTTCCCTCAGCCAGTGCTGCAAAGCAGAGACCTCTGAAGAATGAATTTTAAAGCCTTGATTTTAAAATACTTATCTGCACTGGGGAGAGGCTGTGTCCCTCAGCTTGCTACATACAGTGGAGTGGGCCGTGGGGCTGGGACTCCCAGCCGTGTCTTGCCCAGGCACAGGACAGGCAGGCCGCTTCCCCAGCAGCTCCTTGGTTCCTGTGGGGAACATGTACATGCTGCCTAGGATGGCCAGGAGTCGAAGTGGCTGTCCTTTTACCCACATTGTGCTTTAAGAGCTGCCTGCGTTAGGGGAGAGTGGCCTTGGCCTCACATAGCCCATCACCCTGGAGAACGTGCAAGCCAGTCTTGCTCAGTCCAGGTACCCGGCCGCAGGCCCTCACGTTTTTGTCCAAATATCAGCTTTCGAAATACCTCTGCAACAAATTTGTGAAAAACAGCAACCCCACCCCTTCCTGCCTATCCCCGCTCCTCGGCCTGTTAGTATCTCCCTGACCCCAGTGTGCATCTCCCAAGTGGGGAAGGGGCTGAGAAGGCACTGCAGGGCCCCAGGCTCCTCTTCTGGGCACAGTGGGGCTGAGTCCCCTGGCTGCTGTGCCCAGGGAGGTCGTGGGGGTTCCACGTCAGAGCCTGGGAGGGGAAGCTGTTGTTAATGGGCAGGTTTGGGCAGTCAGGAATTTGTGCTTTGATTTTCTTACAGCAACAATGTCTTCATGTGGCTGTGGGGCCGATGCTGGCCCTGCACGGAGGCCTGGCACCCCCAGGGGCCTGCCAGCTCTGTCCTTCCTCTAACTGGTGCACACTTGGGGTTCAGACTTGGGGATTGTCAGAAAGGCCACCAGAATGGGTTTTCTTGTGCTGCACAGAGGGAGCCGTCTGAATGGGATGTGGGCAGGGTGGCTTTTACCACATCAGACTGCTAAGTCTTGCTCTTGGAAAAGCCCTCCAATAAGACGACTGTGTTGACAGATTCCTGCTGGTGGTTTCCTCCCTAATTACCTCTGTAAGGGCTGGACCAAGAGCTGCCATCTCCTTTAGGAACCAGAAATGGGGCTGAGTACCTGTCTGGGAGCTAGGCAGGGCAGGTAGTTAGGGGAGGTCCTGGCCCCGCCACAGGAAACTTGAGACCCTCCTGGGCTGCGAATAGCAGGCCCCAGGGGAGGGACATGGGCAAGCCTTGGGTTTGCTCCTCCCTGGCCTGGACTGAGTTGGAGGGTGGGGGCATGTAAGCTGTGGTGGTGCTTATTGTCATGGTCAAGTGCTCCCACCCCAGCCGGGTGGTCAGGAGCCAGGTAGGAACCTGTTTGTCAGGGTGGGCAGCAGGCGTATGGGTACCCCATGTAGTCCCCTGGCACCCTGAGGACTGAGGCGGGGTCTGGGCAGAGTGCCTGGGAGGCAGCTGTCTGGAAGGGTCTTTGGTGGGGATTGCAATGTGTGCCCTGCCCAGGGACTCCACTCTGCCTGCCTCAAGGTGTCTGCCAGCCACACCGGGGATTGCCGTCTCACATGGGATTTCTCTGTGCCCGTCTGGGGGCCACTGTCTGGGACCCCTGTCCGTGTGGCTGCCCTCCTGGTTAGGTATAGTGTTAAGGTGAGATTGCGATAAACCACAGAGTCAATCACAAAGCAGGAGATGGAAACTTTATTCACCACTTGGCGGTCTGGATCCACCAGCTGTGGGCCATGGGCAGGCTGCAAGTCCACACCCTGTGACCCCCTTCCAGGGTTTGAGTCCACCTCTTATAGCCCAAAACCTTGTTAGAGCATAAGTGGCTGTTGCTGTGTTGCTATGACCATAAACGTCATGAGATCTAAAATCATAAGCAGGAAAGGAAGTGGGCCCAAACCTCCGTAGTTGAGTACAAGTTAAAGAATGGTTACTGACATAAAGACTGTAAGAGAGAACACTTTTACATTGTGCAAGAATTGCCACTGTGGGTTGCCAAGCGTGCTGTGCGAGGCAGCTGGTGATGGGTGCAGAGGTGGGCTTTCCCTGGCAGAAGCATGCCTTCCAGGACTGGAGTCTCAGGGCCAAACGGAGTCCGTTTGGTCATTGCCTGTATAGCCTGGCCCATAACAGCAGGAAGTGGGCAAAGTCGTGCCCAAAGCCACAGACCCCAATGGCCTGGGCTGCTGGCGCTGACTGCACCTCCCTTGCCCTCACTGGAAGCTGAGGGCTGGCGGGAGGCCACAGGCCAGCATCCAAGCCAGCAGCACACACCCCCCTCACCTGTCGGTTGCTGGCACAGCTGGCTCTGTGCCCACAGACCGCGCCAGCTCTCCTTCCCCGAGAGCTCTCCTTGCCAATACCCTCAGTGGTGACACACTGCGGGTGTCTGAGCGTGCAGCGAGAAGCCTGGCGGGGACTCCCTTACGCCCCAGACCTGCTGCTCCGTGTGTTTCATTTCCCGTCCTTCTCTCCAGCAGAGACTCAACTTGGAAACTAGTGCTTCTTCCCTAAACATGGTGTTTGTCTTGGCCAAGTTCCCGTGGCTCGGTGCTCGAGCTCTGCCTTGTGCTAGCTGCAGCGGGTTGCAGGGCGGGACTCCAGCAAGCTACCCTAGGGCAGGAGGATGCCCACCCCGCTGCCTCCTTTAAGCTGCAGTGGGTGCTGAGTGACACGGTCAGGTGCTCGCAGCTAGGTGGTCAGGAGCTTGTGCACCAGGGTGGCTCAGCAGGTGGTCCCCCTCCCAGGTGGTGCTGGACTGGATTCCAGGCACCTACTGGGCAGGTGGCTGAGACTGTGGCCCAGTGATTCCAGGTGTCCCTGGAGGTGGCACGAGCGTCATGCTTCGTCCTCAGCGCTGTTGGAAGGGCGAGGCTTTTGTCCAACCACAGACTTGCAAGCGTCTGGTGCCTCTGTAGGAGCCTGGGAGCATCTGGGCAGGAGCATCTGGGCAGCAGCAGCTGGCCTGGTGTGGACTGGGTGGGCAGAAGTTCCCTGGCTCAGAGCTTCCCAGTAAGACATCGCCCCAGGCTGCATGGCTGCCAGCTCGGCCCTGTGCCCTCCTGGACACTGTGCTGTCCTCCTCCACAGTGCAGATACAAAAGCCAGTTCTGTGCTGCCCACCCAGTCACTGGGCTGCTCCTCCCGAGGACCCCTGGACGCTTCCTGAGTGTGAGCTGTGCTGGCCTCCCCTCGCCCAGTCAGCACTGGCACAGGTTGCCAAGGACAAGAACAAACAGATCCCTTTAGAAAGACCCCAGCAAGGGCCAGCAGCAGGCCGTGCCCTCCCAGGGTCCTCACAGCCCCGTGCGGGTGATGTCCTCCGAGGATGGCTCTTCTCTGGGCTGGCCTCATGCTGAGGCGAGGTGTCGGGGCTTGAGGAGGAGAAGAGTGTGTTCGGGACTCACTGCTGGCCGGTGCCCACAGGGACCCTCACCGCCACGTCCCAGCCTCTCTTGCTTTGCTCTTCCTCGTGTTCCTGACAGTCAGGATGGGAAGCTGGCCTTCGCTTCGTACCTGGCAGACTCTGGGAATCGTGCCAGGCAGCGGCAGTGTGCTTCCCTGCCGGGGGCTGCATTCTCAGGGACTGTGGGATGGAGGAAAGCGGAGCAAGAGAGCACATGGCCTCGGTTCTCTCTGTGGGATGAGGGCCCTTCCCTGGGGGCTCCCTGGCAGCCCTACACCATCCTTTCTCCCTGAAGCACCCCTTCCACCCACCCAGCGCCACCCAGGCCTGTGTTGCATTAAGCAGCCTCACACACAGCAAGGGCCAAGGCACGTGCATGCCCTCATGGGCTGGGGGCCCTGGGGTTCGGACTTGGTGCTGGGCAGGCTGGAGGGCCTCTCCCGAGGCTGCCTGAGCCCAGTGCTGAAGGGCATCGTGCTGTGGGCAGCCTTGGGCTCAGGCAGGGCTGTGGGAAGTCTCAGGGGCTCACTTGGGGTTATCCTCACCACAGCGTGTCCCTCACCAGGGCCGTGGGGATTAGCAAGCCCCCTGCAGGAGGGGTGCTGTGGACCCTGCAGGAATGACCAGGCCCTGCAGAGCCTCTCCGTTACTAATCATGGGCCATCACAGCCCCCCAGGCCTGTCCAGTAGGGCCAGCAAGACGGACTCCCTCCCACTCCTCTGTACAGGAGAGTGGGGGACAGCAGGCTCCCAAGGAGAGAAAGGGGTTCCCTGACTCCCAGGCTTGCCCGTCCATGCACATGTAAATTTTGGGGACTGCAGGTGGCCTTCCGAGGGGGTTGCTGATGGCAGGACTACAGGGAGTGAGTGGTCTGATGCTCAGGGCAGCGTTTCCTCTTGGTCACCTGTGTCCTGTCTGTGGGCCAGTTGCATGTGCCCACCCATGAGGACCCTGAGAAGAGGTGCTACTCCGCCTCGGCCCTCTCCCACTTGGGCTCAGTGCTTCCTGCTTTGCACAAGAGCCAGAGTTCACACTGAGCCCCAGTGGACCCTCCGCAGGGTGGAGCGGGGGCTCTGGTGGGCTGCGGGGTGCAAGGTGCTGGGGAGCACTAGGGCCTTGCACCCTATGTGGGCTTTCCTGCTGCCTGGGGGGCTTGCGCCTGGTGTGGGCTTTCCTGCTGCCTGGGGGGCTTGCATCCCATGTGGGCCTTCCTGCTGCCTGGGGGGGCTTGCGCCTGGTGTGGGCCTTCTGGCCGCCTCACCTGCATCCTCTGTTTCATTCTGCAGTGAACTTCGACCACTTCCAGATCCTGCGTGCCATCGGGAAGGGCAGCTTCGGCAAGGTAAGGCGGGGCCTCCCCATGGGCCTGCAGAGGGCGGGGACTTGCTGGGCCATGGAGCAGGGCAGCTGACCACCCTCCTTCCTGCTCCTTTTCTCTCCTGGAGAAATCAGCCCCAATGGGCAGTGTCAGGGAGGGCATGGAGGCCCGGGATGTCCGCACGGGCCCTCTGGGGTCTGGTAGCCCAGCCACGTGGAGCCTTGGTTGCCACGTGAGAGGGCGGAGGCTGATGCCCACACTGGGGCACTGAGGTCCACCCAGGACTAAGGGCTTCCTCCAGGGAGGCGGTGGCTTGGGCCTGAGGGGAAAGCATTTTAGAAAGGCTGCATGGTGTCCAGAAGCCCCTGTGAGGCTCGAGGCTGCTGTTGACCACACTGGAACCCAGGGCACGAAGATGACCGGACTGAGGTGGGTGGCCCGTGTGCCTCCACGTTGGTGGCCCCCCAGAGCCTCGCTCCTCCAGTCCCTCTGGGCCAGCTTCCTGGTGACATCCTGCCTTGTGATATCTAGAGATTGGGCGTAATTTTAACTCCGCGAAGCCCAAGAGCACTCTGACAGGGGGTGGCACTGGCCCTTGGGGTAGCTGCTGTGCTGTTCATGAATCACTTCCAGTGGACGCTTCCTGTCGGCCGTCCGGGGCTTGGCAGACGGCTGGGCCTCCCTCCCGTCCCCACAGCTGTCTGGACACTGCCTGTTTAAGCTCCGTAGCCCTTTTTAATAAAGGGATTGCTGTGCTGCCAGAGCCCCTGTGCAGGGGATTTGAATGCGATCAATTGCCTCCATTCCGTCTACCAGGAGCGAACGCTTGTGCGCTGCTACAGGGTGATGCTCAGAGCAGCTGAGCCCCTATGCACAAATTCTTGGAAACGCACCCAGGAGAGACACCCAGCAGAGGCACTGTTGATGTCTGCCATGTCAGGAGGTGGCCACGGCCTCTGTGGTGTTGTCGTTTGTGAAGGTGGTGACCTTAGGGTGAGGTTGTCAGGGACGCTGAGGTCTGGGACCCCTCTGCACTCCTGTTTTCCCAGTGGAGCACAAGCAGTGCCCTCAGGGCCACAGAGGGTGTGAGGAAGCACCAGGGTCAGGCAGGTGGGGATGCCCCTCAGCCCTGCGGCAGAGGACAGTAGCTCTGACCAGGTTCAGGAGGAGTGGCTGAGAGAGGGAGACCAGCACCAGTCATTCAGAGGTTTCAGAAACTAGGGATGCTGAGCTGCCTAGAGAGGGCCAAACTGGGGCCCCCGAGGGCAAAGACCACCTGAGGGGGCGAGGGCAGTGGGCGAGGCCAGTAGGCAGGACAGGTGCTGTTCTCTGGGGATCTGTGCCCCCACCTGCCCCTGGTGGGTCTTTCTGCTCTCAGGATGCCCTCCCCTTTACTGCCCCTGTGCCCCTGCCAGGGCACTGTCCCTGTCCTCACTAGCACAGCTAGGCAGCCCTCTCCTCTGCCAGGGTCCGCAGAGCCCCTGTGCTCCTGTGCCTCTGACCAGTTCTTGGCTCTGAACAGGCAGCTGGCCAGGAGATGGTCGCTGTAGGGGGAGAGGAGAGCAGGTGCTGGGTTTCTTGCAGATGCAGTTTAGTGGTACAGTTCGAGGGCTCCTTCCTGCCCGAGTAGCTGCCTAATCAGGCGTCCAGGGTCTCGGGGCTGCTGCTGTCAGGTGGGTGTTTGGGATGTGTGTAGGGTGAGGCCTGTCCCAGGCCCAGTCTGTCCTGCCCTCATCCAGCCGTGGCAGGATAGTGGCCTCATGACTGGGGGGAAAGGGGACTTGGAGAAGCAGCCCCAGGGAGTCCAGCAGGCCCTAGGTGCATCTGTTTATATGGCTGTGCCTCAGTGGGACTGTCTCCCTGGAGGGGGGGGTGCACAGGCCTCCCTGCACCCAGCACCCTACCTACGACAGCTCTGCAAGGGGGGGGCATGAGCCTGCAGCACCCTCCAAAGCAGGGCCCCCATTCAGGGCTGGGCAGAGTCAGATTGTGTCCGAGGAAATGGTCTGTCCCCAGCCAGAGGTCCCTTTAACTTGGGGCCATAGCTCCCAGAGATAGAGTAGCTGAATTTGTTGTGTCTGGTCCTTGGCTTGTTTTTCCATTTTTAAACCGTGATGGTCATCACTGTGCTGCTGCCCTCTCAGCCGCCTTTGGGAGCCTCCGACAGGGCGCTCTTGTGCAGCAAGCTCTGAACCTCCTCCAGCAGAACCCAAGCCCTGTCCCCACCCGCCCCGCCCGCCCCGCCGCCAGCCTCCCACCTTCTCCTGTGATTTGACCACTCTGTTCAGGCTGTTCCAACCACACCACAGCCTCGGAGGCCAGCGCTCACCGTGTGGGGGCTGGAGGGCAGCACGGATGCAGATTCGGGGTCTGGTGGGGCTGGCTTCCTGGTGTAGACAGCGTGTCCTTGCTGTGTGTCACGCAGCGGGGAGGAGGGCGGGAGAGCTCTTGGGGGCTCCTTGTGAGGGCACAGACCCATCCACGAGGGCTCCCCTCCTGGCCTGGCCACCTCCCAGGGGAAGGGCACAGACCCATCCACGAGGGCTCCCCTTCTGGCCTGCCCACCTCCCAGGGGAAGGGCACAGACCCAACCACGAGGGCTCCCCTCCTGGCCTGGCCACCTCCCAGGGGAAGGGCACAGACCCAACCACGAGGGCTCCCCTCCTGGCCCGCCCACCTCCCATGGGTGAGGCGCGACAGGAGTGGCGGGGACACCCAGTTCTCTCTTCTGCACCTACTTCAGTGGATCATGAGATACTTGTCATCTGTGCTTGTTTATTTCAAGTAGTAAAATGTCCTCAGGTCTGTCCATGTGGTGGATCGTGTCCGAATCCCCTCCTGTTAAGGCAGAGCAGTGTCCCGTCACGCATTTGTTGGTGACACCTGGCTGCTCCCATGTCTTCGCCCCTGGAACTTTGCACTGTGCACAGGGCGCCTGGGACTTCCTGGAGGCCCTGTGAGCCATTCTGTGTGTGACCCTGAGGAGCACGAGACTGCAGCTTTCTGCACCCACCACAGGGCACCAGGGCCATGTCCTGGTCCCCACCAGCACTAGCTATGAGCCTTCCCTGGGGGGAGAGGTGCTGCGCCTAAGATTTTGATTTGCATTTGTCTAATGGTTACAAAGACTGGTGCAAAGTCCCCTTGACGAGATCTTACCTCTGAGAAGGAGCCGTCGGAGCGCAGGGTCCACATGATGAGACCCCAGGCCTCTGAGGAGGGGGACTGGGCCCCACCCCTCCTGTGGGGCACTAGAGGCTGATGTTTTCCAAGGTTTCCTGCCCACAAGGCAGTTATTGCTGGGGGCAGGGTTTGGTGGGCCGTCTGCTGTGGGGCGCAGGCTGGGCGTGAGGTCGGGTGCCCAGGAGCGCACACCGAGTCCCAGGTGCAGGCGTGGCTGGTGCAGAGGTGGAGATGAGGACCAGCAGAGCCAGATGTTCCAAGTTCCAAGCCAGGCTGCCCTCAGCAGTGCTGGTTTTTCAAGTTCATCCCTCGCGGAGTATGACTGGGGTGTCTGGGGGTCCCCTGCATAGGGTAGCAGGCTCTGGTGTCCAAGTATCAGGGCCTCTGCTTTTGTGGCTGAGTCAGAGCTCTGAGGAGAGTCCCAGGGGAGCTGGGACGGCTCTGTGGGACCATGTCATTGCTGGGTGCATTGCTCTTCTGCAGACTCCTGCCGCGCCCTGATGACAGGTGAGCCCTGAAGAGGTGGGGCATGGTCAGACCCACCCATCACCTGCAGCTCGGGGACATCATATCATGGAGCCGGTGTTCCGTGCTCCATGGAGAGAGCCGCTGGTGGTCTAGCCACTGTCTGTGGCTGTGAGAACACAGTCCTCACCAGCTTGGGCATGGTGTAAGACTTTGTCCCTGGGCCCTATGGGATATCAGGACCGCTGGCTACATTAGGAGGGGCCAGGAGGTGCAAACCTGCTGCTGGGACCCTTTCCACCCTGCCTAGGCCCCGCAGGGCCTCCCGCTCCCACCCTAGCCCCACTCCAGCCAGGGGTAGGAAGAGGCCACCGTGACCTCTGCGGAGCTTGCCCCCTCTTGGCACTGCCTGGTTGAGTTGGCTGTGGATCCAGAGGCTGGAATTCCAGGCCTTGCCTCAGGGGCCCAGCCTGACTGTCCCAGGGACAGTCCATGGATGCCCAGGGCAGGGGGGAGGTGGTCTGAGCACAGACGTTGCCTTGGTGGGAGGCACATGGAGGGCCGTTAGGCAACAGAGGATGCAAGCAGGGGGAGAGGGCCCTTAGAAGAGCAGGTGGGGTGCCTGCGTGTGCCCGAGCCCCGGGGAGGCTCCGCCCAGGCCTGTGTGAAGAGCGTCCCTCTCCTGGGGAGGTTCCTGGCCATGAGTTTGTTTGGAGGAAGAAGTCCTCTCCTGTGTTTGCTGGAGTTGAGGCGCCTTCGGCTCGAAGTGGCGTGCTTGTGTGCCCCTGGACTGCCTCCTCGCATGCCAGGTGGCCCTCCTTGCCGTGCTCCCCACCTCAGGAGGGTCTGAGCAGCTGGGCCCTGGGCCCGGGCCCTTCAGTGCAGGGCCTTCTCTGGAAGCCCCCCTCCTGGTGAGACCCCATCAGCTTCCCAGCAATGGAGCAGATGCCGAGAGCTCGGAGCCTGCCCACCCCCAGGCCCCTTGCTCCCGAGCTGGTCTGGACAGCTGTGTTCATCCTTCCTGGGGACGGTCACTGTCCACAGGGCTTGTCCTGTTCAGGGATGCTGCCTCGCCCTGCTGTCCCAGCAGTTATTGGGACAGATGCCCACTCTGTGAAGTCCAGGGGTGAAAGAGCCCTCAGCACCAGGTGCTGCCCCCAGCAGGCTGCCTAGTGCAGCTCTAGGGGTCCCCTTGGGCTCCCAGGGCTGGGCCTTCAACAGGGGTTGCTGCCACTCCAGAGGCTATGGGACTCCACCAGCCTCTGCACTTAGCATGCGAAAGCCGCCCCACCCGTTTCTCCCAGCACTCTCCCTCACCCTGTGGCCCTGGGCTGCTCCCTGCGAAGGGCACCTGCTCAGGGGCTGCCGCTCCTGGG